TTTTTATACGGTATTAGATAGCTAAAAGCTTTACCTGATTTATTTTTTGTTACTTTTGTTATCCAATAGCATTGAGAGGGATGTTACTAAATAAATTAATGTTTTAAGATTTATTATTCGTTTATAGGTGCCAGATGAAAATGAAAGTACCCAAAGCAAATCCGGAAATATACTGAACTTTATCATCAGGAGACAATCGTGTTTTTATCGATTTAAAACAGTGGATACTAGTTTAAACTGGTACCTGGCCGTTATTTGAAAAGTTTGACATATTCCGAAGGCATACTGAATATTTTACGGAGGGAACCAACCTAATACTAATTAGACCTGTAAAACGTAGTGAACAAATTTTACTTACAACGGTTTTTAAGGACATGGATGACTGCTTTATATTTAACACATATAGGGTTAATAGTTTATGCATGACAAAATCGGACGAATAAACCAAAGGGACAATCAAAACTCATAAGTCGAAGAGAATCTGACAAAATCATAACGCACAACGAAAAATGACCAAAAAAAATCAACAGTCTACATATCATAACATGGAAAACTTAAGATCCAGCAATCCCCAACCATGGAGTTATGTTTACAATTTTCAAGATATTTATCGAATTGTCAACCTTTTCCCAGAGTTATATTTTCCTGATGATAAATAATAGGGTGTTTTTTTAATTTAAAACTTGAAACTGATAAACTTTTAACTATGCATATAAACGGAATAGAGTTTAAATTCATTGATATGCATTGATACACAAATATAATCTTCTATCTATGATACTAAATGAGGAGACTTTTATATGTGAAGCTTCGAATTCTCCAACTTATTATATGTATAATTGATGTGACTCGACGTCAAGAATCTTGCATGCACAGTATAATTTATGATTACCATCTTTTATTATTTAGTTTGGAATATGCATGGTATTGCTTGAATTTTTTTTATCTAAATATCCTTCCCGTCAACAAATTTCGGATTAATGTCAGTATTTTCTTTTCACATGAAATGAAAGAAAAATGAAAACAACACTTTATAAATTTCGTGCGTCCGAAGCGCTTTTCTGGATTTACCTTCATCAGGAACGTTCAAAGCCGAATATTTAAAAGCCAAGGATGTATATGGAATTATTAATTCAATTTCACAGGCAACAGTTTCACGCAAAGACGGTACACATAATAAAATTGTGTTCGACTTCTGATTGGATGAAATTATTTCTTCATGAAATAATTTCCATTTAGGTTTGAAAATTCCATGAAATTAAATTCAAATTTTATAAATTGTAGAACATAACATATATCAAATGCATATTTGTATAAAAATAAGCAGATGTGGTATGGTTGAATGAAAAAACAATGATCCAGAGCTAAAATGAAGTTGATATAAGCAATTAGGTCATTGTTTTGCCACATGATCATATATTTTTGTCGTTGTGATACACGCTGGCATTTCTGGTAAAAGGAACTGCTATCCACTCTTTCTCCTTTGTTTTATCTTCGCAAAATTAATTATGGAACACCACTGGTACCCTATAGAAAATGCATTACAAACAATTGCGCTCTTGTAACCTTCATAATAACTGGATATGCCATATACAAACAGCAAAGAACCCCAATGCACATTGATTTAACAAGATAAGAAATTAAATTAATCACTTATGATACAACAGACATCTATTATCCGGATGAAACAAGTTTAAACATAAAACAAACAACGAAATTTTCACACATAAACCGCACCACAATATATAATTATTGGAATAAACAAGATTGAACCTAAAGTCAACCAAAAGTTACAAAAGACAACGCCCCACAATGTTCCTCCGTGAAAACAGACTCGGCTGAACACCAAATTAAAGCGTTCTTAAATGAAAATGAAATTGACCGAAGACCAACAATAGTACAGCCATTAAAAACGGAAAAAAAGCAATTCAATTTGATGAAAAAAAGTTCCATCCGTCTACAAATTTCAGTAATTTCTCATATGTAAATGTTATAGGACACTGTAATTGTTGAATAAAACATGATAATTTAATAAACATATCCGTATCTTCAACCTTGTATCTTTATTTGAAGGATTTGCAGTAAAGTTTTTATCATTTTCAAACTTCTTTCTTTATTAACAAACAAATATTTATTAAGAACCCATTGATGCGATTAGTTCGAATGTAAAGCATATTCAATTGTTTAATAATGAATTTGGCTATTCTGTTATGTCCCGTTGTCATATAGCTTGTTAAGGTACTTATACAGTGTCGGCTTTCCATTCTTTATATGAGAGTTTACGGACGCCATCACGAGTTGGTTGACCGTTATGGAATAACCGTTTCACAGATGATATCGGATATGTTCCTTATGTCGTAACTACAATACCCTTCCCTTTTCACGAATGTGACTTACCGAATTAGACTATTTACCGGATTTGTAATAACATAAGCAACACGACGGGTGCCACATGTGGAGTAGGATCTGCTTACCCTTCCGGAGCACCTGAGATCACCCCCAGTTTTTGGTGGGGTTCGTGTTGCTTAGTCTTTAGTTTTCTATGTTGTGTCATCTGTACTATTATTTGTCTGCTTGTCTTTTTATTTTTGGCCATGGCGTTGTCGGTTTGTTTTCGATCTATGAGTTTGACTGTCCCTCTGGTATCTTTCGTCCCTCTTCCTGATGAAGAAAAAATCCGAAAAAAAAGCACTTCAGATGGAGCATATTTAAAAATTGTTATTTCCATTTTTTAATACAGATCTATAACAGATGAATTGAAGCCATGGGACATGTCAAGTACAATTAGGTTAATATATCAACTGAAGTAAATTATGTCCGGCAATGACCAATTTCTATTTTTGGACATACTTGTCATTTGATTCATGCTGAATAATTTGTGACGATAATCAAAACATCTGATTATTTATCTTTTTTACTTCATCTCATTACAGCAGGATTGATTAAATTGGACATGCAATTTACACATTATGTATTAATACGAGAACATAATTGAATATTATATCAGTTGATATATATGTTTTCAGATCCACTTTTATAGTCAAACAATTATTGAGATAAAAACAATCTCTACTTCAATATTCATCATTCAATTTAAAGGCAAACCTGATAAAACTTCACTTAGATAGAAACAGTATCAAATAACTTCAAATAGCAATGCTTGTATTCAATGAGTACTTTCTGTACATTGTACAATGAAAGTACATTTTAAAATCTGTTTTCCTTAATAAATGGTGCCCAATATTTACGGAAAAACATATAAATTCCGATTTATAGATCTTTACATAACATTTTTCACGAAGGCCCTTTTATCATTCCTTATATCGAACTAAAGCATTTATTCAAGAATGTATAATGACTTTTTCTGGTTTTCATATTTTCGTATATAAGTAAACATGTCTACATAATTCTTATATGATTTGCATATCTATAAATACTTGAATTGGATTGGTCAATTAGAATTTTTCTGTTGGTTTACACTTCGATAAACCATGTTCCCGAAACTACTTTCGTAATCTATTCATGCGCGATACACATGTTTGCAGGGATCCCGGGAATTTAAGAAAATTGAGATTAAAAAAACAAATGCATAACAGTTGTTTCTATTCTAATGTATTTATAACAAGAAATGAATAAAATAAATGCACTAAAGCTTCGAAAATGTATAAAATTAAAATTTAAATAAAATTCCGCGAAATTTCATGAATGATTTGGCGAATTTACGTCATGGCAAAACACGACGTCATACGAATGAAAACTTTCAAGGGAAAGATTATTTCGCTACTTGTACGCTTTCAATTCGGATAATATCTAAATAAAATGAAGTTTTGGAGGTAGGTGCTATTTCATTTTAGATTCCGTTGCATTTATCGAACATTTATGGATTTTAGAAAGTCAATATGGCGGCCAACTCCTTAGTTACGACCTGCCAATTGTTCATTTGATGGTAATTATAGTAGCCTTTACACAAAAAAATGTTAATTAAAAATATTTGGCTTAAGAATTATAAGGATTAAACACATTTTTTCTAGAGGTTATTGATGTGTAAACCGGGTCTCTAACTCACAAACTTTACATAAAAGTCCTTCGGACTTTTATTCAGTTTGTGAGTTAATCGCCCCGGTTTACACATCAATAACCTTTAGAAAAAACGTGTTTAATCCTATAATATTTTTACCTACCAAAACATTTACTGAAAAGATCTGGGGACATATATATATATACGTTTAAATATGTGACAACTTTACGACATATGTTCTCCGTCGGATAACCTATAGTTATACAGGGATAACACTATATATTTTTTGCTGGTTTGGCATTGTTTTTGGTCCTTTTTGGTTACATCACCTTTTCTACGTTTGTATAAGGATTTAGACTTTCAAATATTTTGGCCTTGAGCATCACTGAAGAAAATTATTTGTCGACATGCTAATGTTGTGAAGTAAAATGGGTACCATTAATGTTATCATATAAACTTCGTTTGAAATGTTGCCCAACAATGTTCAATTTTCAAATTTGTGTTAGTAAATGTCTTTTATTCCCTTAGCGGGATTCAAACCCTTGTTTCTGTTACATCGTGACAACACCGCCTGCACGGGTCCAGCGCCCTAGACTACTCGGCCAATTAGACTATGTAAAAATATAGTTATCGTTATTCTAGTGATGCCTGCCACGTCAACTTTAGCTAGGGTTGTAACACTGTACATGATGTATAGTGACAAATAGATGGTACTTACTATACATAAGCATGAAGTATGCAGTCATCACACCGATTTAGTAACTGAATATTAGAATAGGGATAAGTTTGTTTGAGTTATAATAAAAAAATTAGTTAGTGAAAAATGCAGATTATTTGGCATACTTATTACTTTACTTGTCAAAACTGGCACGTTGTACAAATATTTAGAGATAAAAAAAAAGGTTAATACTCCATTTGCATGTTTGAAATGCAATAAAAGATATAACATTACACCAAAAATCGATTGATAAGTAAAATATGTTCCCGAATACCACTGCTTCCATTATCCCGTTGAATTTTGGATACCAGTTTCAAAATGCATTTCATTAGACATGGTCATACAAACATGTTGGTTCTGTGTCTTTGTCTGTTTTGTTTGTCTTCTGCTTATCAAATTATAGTCTCAGGTAAAGATGGCGAAACCGATCTTTGTAAGAGCGTTACAAATGATATTAAAAATTTGGAAAGAAAGATGAATAAAAAACTTGAGCAAATGGTGACGACACTTCAACAGAGTATAGAAAATAAATGTAGTAATGGTATGTATATATGTGTAACAATTATATGATTATATGTCAATCATAATTCATTTCAGTATAAAGTCAAAGCTGAGACATTTGGCAAGGGTAATTAAGTTTTTTCTTGTAAATCCTAGACAAAAAAAAATCTTCCGAAGAAGGAGTTTTTAGTTGCACCAGTCTTTTAAAATGTCTTATTACCTTATATATTAGTGGATTTTAAAAATTATCTTAGATTAAGGAATATATCTCCCTCATGCAAAGCTCCGATTTCTTGCTTTGTTTTTGGCTATACATTTTGTCCGTTTTTAATTAAAAGCCCTTCATTTTTTTTTATAATTTTTGGGTTTTCCAATAATTTAGCACCGCGCATCACTGACAAGCATTCATTGTCGAAATGTGCATCTGGTGCAAAAAATCGGTACCATTGATGGAATTGTGTACATGAATTTGTATTTATATAACGTGTAACATTTTATTGTCCGAATATGCGTCCCGCTTGACGTTAGTCATCCTTCATTGCCATTTGTGATTTCCATCTTTTAAAAAGTAAATAACTTTTCGCGCCATATATTTATAGATTAAAGTCTCTGTACCTTCTGATACTCATTTTCAGTAGCTCTTTCCTTAGTCTAATGTAAACGGAAAAGATCGATCTTCAGTCGGACTTCAAGAGTTCATCTCCATAGGTGGTTTTAAAAAGATTGATCATGTTGTATTATGAAATGAAAATAAATTATAATGCATGTTCGACGGCAAAAATACAGGTGTTTACAAACGATAGATGGGAAAAGAGGAGATACATGGAGTCAGGATGAGGCTGTTCTCTTAATTTTACTCTAGGGAGACTAACATATTCTGCATAAGCTTTGTAATACACCAAGTAGAAACCAGGATATTTTCAAACGGATATGCACGGATATCAAAGTCGGTTTAAATACTTGTGACATGTGAATCTAAAGGATGAGCTATAACTGCCTATGATTCCAATGAACATACTACAAGCTTTTGCAGTGTGTGGTATTCCGTGCGATATTCTATTTTTACGATTTTTGTTTATAAAATGTGATGTAATTAGGTCAAACAGATCATTTTTATATTGCAGTGTTAACGCAATAAATTAAGTAAGATCGATCGAGCTTGCGCAAACTTGATCGCGACCTGGTCTTTTTGAAGATCGATTCAAACAACGATAGGTTCAATTTCGATCAAGTGTAAACTGGGTCTTAGTAAAACAATTTGCCATCTTCATTTTTTAGAATATTTTATTATAATTGTTGTTAATTTGATTTGATTTTTTTTTTCCACTTTAATATTGAAGTTTATTGATATCTATGTCATTTTCATTGTTTAAAAACAATAACACACGTTTTACACACGACATGTCGTACACGGGCAGTTTCTTTTCAATATATTATTCATATCTAATTGGAATATTATTTTATGGATTGACCTTCAGGAAATATCTTGAAACTATAAAGGAAATAAAAAAAAAATGTATCGGACATGTTTTGCGGTTTTAGATTTCTCACAACTACTTAATAGTCGTCTGATCTGAAAATTTACTATCATATTTCATCATTCGTGACATTTTTTATTGATATTGAGTTCGAATACCCTGTGTACGCACATGGTCTCGCTTTCCTTTGCATTTGAGATTTCTTCATGGTTTTCTTTTGGTTTGTATATTGAATATGGATAAACAAGGTTTGGACATAGATACATTACTTTTGCCTCTTATATTCCATTGGATTGCCTCTTGACACAAATTATGTCTTAATACATTGAATTTGAAAACAAACTTAATTATAAAATCCAGATCCTTTTTTTTTAACATCTGTCTTATCCAAAGTTTGTATATTTACATTATACAGAAATATTAGAACCCTTATATGAAGTAGCAAAAGGAAAAGCAGCAAAGCAAAGTTCATTATATCAGGGGAAATATTATCCTGCTGGTTGGGCCGTTGATGGTAATACTGGTACTTTTTCTCACACTAATGGCGAAAAAAAATCCGTATTGGTGGGTAGATCTAGGAAGACTGTACAGAGTAACACGGATTGAAGTGCATAGCCGAAAAGGCTGTTGTGGTAAGCTCCCATTATAAAGAAAATAAATGAAAGACGGCAATGCTTTTGTGGACGTTAAGCTTTGAACAAAATTAACTTTCAAATTTCACGAGAATATGTTCCGCAAAATATCAAAAGGTTGAAATATCAATGACGTCTTTACTATAATAGCGAATAGTTTGGTTTGATTGTTAATGGTCATTATTTACTTACACGGATCAAATGGCAATTTTACAGCATTATGCTTATACAATGAATTTAGCAAATTTTTTTGTTGATTAAGATATGTTTCACTGAATAACATTTTACGTCAATAATTATAGAAGTAAGTTTTCAACTAAGGTCATGAATACTAATGATTTAGCATGTTATCTTTGTTTTGGGAAAAATCTTGAATTTTGATCTTCTAGATATATACAGTAAAATTACTTAAACGGTTTGAGACAAAATGCAATCTTATAAACCGTTCTATCCATTAGAAATACAAATTTGCTTAACGTAATAAAAGATCTAGACCTCTATACTCATCTTTGGTTTTATTGTGTGTTAGGTGAATGATAATGACATATAACCCAATAGTCTTTTATAAGTATTACCAGACTTCGATTAAATAAGAATTAGCTGTAAAATAAAATAGAAGTAACTGACATTTCATGCAATCTCCAATTAATAACTAATATTTACTTGTATGTATTTTAGGTTCCTATCTGCATGACATGGACGTTACTGTGGGACCTTCTCTTAACGAGATGTCTTTATGCACCCACTATAAAGGTCCTGCAAGAACAGGAGAACATTTCGTCTTGGACTGTAAAGCAACGTTGGTTGGGCGGTTTGTCAAACTGTCTATTACCAGTGATAAAAAAGAAATTGTGCAGATGGCAGAATTGAAAGTGTTTGCGTATCGAAACAAACAATAAAATGTTAAATAGGAATACTGATGTATTGTTAAATTACTACATATGCCTTTTCTTGAGTCTGAAATGATGTTAGTAAATGCCTTTGTTTCGTTATCATTTTTCTATTTAGGAAATTTAGTGTTGAATTCAGATCTTCGGTTATCTCTGTTAAATTCATATTGACGGCTTGACTAGACCAATTTGCTATTGTCATATTGATTAAGCACAATGTCATGCTTTTCTTTTTTGTAACCTGTGTTGCATGTTTATTTTTTAGTTTACTAGGGAAAATAACGTGTTCTTAACTATCAAATAAAGAGCAAAACATTAGTATAAACAATACAAATGTTTTGAACTAAACTATACCTGCAAAGAAACAAAATAAGGTTGATTATTTTTTCAGTAATGCATATCAAAAGTTCATACAATAAGATGAAAATAAAAGTAATAAGTTTGGTGCTAAAAAAAAAGATTAAGCATAGATCTTAATACCGAACCAATGTTTTTTAAATATATATCTTGCTGATTCTTTGTCTGGATTTAGGTGTTTTTTTATTTTTTCATCTCATCAACGTTTGCAATTTTGTAGTTTTGGATTTTCAAAAGTTAAAATGGTGAAATGTAATTCCTTTTTTTGTGTATCCATGGCAACATTCTGCATTTATTTACCCTAAAATATTGTTAAAAGGGGCATGGCAATGTCACATATTCCCCCAAAATTTGGTTCAAACTAGATATTCAATCCGTTTGAGTGATACTTTTCCTGAAACTATTGACTTTAATCTACCAAATGATCAAATAAAAATTGGGTGTCTTTTGCCTCATTTTTTCGTAAAATTGAATCACAAAGTTCGTGCGACAAAAGTTGGAAAAAACATTACAATAATTTCTGAACCAATATCTGGTATGGATATTAAAATACAGACTGTCGTACAGAAAACAGTCCATAATGCATACATTAAACAATAACTAGAAATGTATTGCTACACAGTTATGAACGTATAATGTGTTCCATATCATGTCGATAATTATATTTTGGCATTGAACATATTCCTGCATTTCGAAGAGTGTATATGAACGTCCTTTCACTAAATTCGTTGGGTGTGCAGTGTTTGATATTTTGGTCTGAATAACATGATACATACATATATTAGTTGTAATTGGATTTGAAATAGCTTTCATCAACTGCAAGTACTCTTCGATTGGTACTTTGTGTTCTTCGTCATGTTGTTAGTTGTGTTTTGTGCGTCTTGCCAATATGAGGAGTAAAGCCCTTTCCAACTGATTTTTTACAATGTTTTTTATGTTGTGCTGTGACGTAGCTGTCCCAGGTAAGGGAGAGGATTGAGCGCTCACACACATGTTAAACCCCGCCACAATTTGTATATGCCTGTCCAAATTCAGGACCCTGTTATTCAGTTGTTGTCTTTTGATGTTGTTTGCAATATTGGTTTTTCAGGTTTATTTCTTGCATAGAACATCCTATTGGCTTTTTCGTTTAAATTGTTTCACATGTCATGCTTGGTTACTTTACGGTATGGGTATTTCTCATTGTTGAAGGCTATGGTTGCTTACATCCACGTCTTATGGTATCTGAAAGACAGTTTAAGTTAATACCGCACCTCATTATATGCATTTAGCCAGGTTAGGCACAATGTTTTTGGAATTTTTGATCTCAATGCTCTTCAACTTAATAAATTGTTGGCTTTCGAAATAAATTGTTTCAAGTGTTGTAAGTTTTATTCATACGAAATGTGCATAAGACGTATTCAAAAACGTATTAAACGTATTAAACTATAAGCCTGACATCATTGATAGCTCTATTATTATACCTACTGTAAATAAATTTAATATCAACTATATATATATATATATATATATACATCTTTTGAGCAGTAGAAAAAACTAAATAGGCTGATAACATGCACTTGTATCCATTATACAACGAGAGGAACTAGCTTCATATCAATTTCGATTTGTACAGACCAAGTCGTTTTAATGATTGTAGAAATAATAACAATGGTTCAAACACTCAAAAACACACAAAAGTATACAGGGTTATTCATTTGTTGAGTCAAGAAGAACCTTTTCAATATGTCGTACATTGCTGGTTTTTAAAAAGTGTTAAAAATATTTAGACCAAGTATTATATAGAATAAACACGACATGCATGTATACTTAATGTGCAAATCATTTAAACACCACACGATCAGTAATCAAATTAGGTACCCGATATCCTTTAGAATTCATATCTTTTTAAACCATTTAATCAGAATGCACAACAAGTACTAATTTCCAACATTGAAAATTGATTTTCAAATATCTTTATTGTTTGTACATCATAATGAAATGGTTTATATAAGATATGAATAACAAATGATATCAGGTACTGATCATCATCATGTGGTGTTTGAAATAATTGCAAGTGAAGTTAACATGTACGTCGTGCTTATTTTATTTTATCAAGGTAACAAACAAAACCGGGAGAATCGAAAAGGAGCAAAGGAAGTGAATAAATCACCAAAACCAACATTCCCGCAGCACCTGTATATGGAATATACCTCTTTTGTGTTAAAACGATGAGGTTCTGCGTTTTCTGAAATCCTTAACAAAGGATTGCCTCTTATAACCAAGGAAAATAGCATTCATTAATTGTAATTATCTCTTCGAAAGATTTGTTTCATCGTTTTGGAATATCAGTGTCATAGATTACCCTTGTTATATTTCACTTGTCGATTTCAGTCAATAAGGTGTTGTGCCGAGGATAATTATGCCTACTTATATGTACCTGCTATTTTTTGTGTAGACGTATTGGGATAGTGTTAACAAAACTATCTCAAAATGTGTACCCGTGTACTGGCATATGTTTTTATTAGAGCTGTTGCAGAACTCGTGTATCGGGGACGTATCCGTATATGACGGAACGTATATGAAGTATTTGTGAATATGATAAAATAAGTATTACATGTATTCGTAATATACACGATTTTTCATTCCATTGTCCTTACATGAAGGATTGAAGTTATGTAAAAATAAGACGTGCCACTCGATAAGTGTAGTAACTGTTAAAGTGTTTTAAAGTATATCGTCGACCTTTTTCACGATTAAAGCGATCATTGAAAATTTCCTGAATAGGCCGTTTTAATTCTATATCTTCTATAATGAATTATCGTAAGTCAGATTTGTAACTACATTGCTTATTTAATTTTTGCAGTTTATATATATCTATGTTGTGTAACAATTAAACGCAGAATGTTTGCCTGAGTGTTTGAATCGTCCGGTATTAGGTCTTATGTATGACAAGGTAAATAAACAGTAATTGAGAAAACGAGTTGACCGGAAACTGGTTCGATGTTCTATTCTTAATTCTAAACGGCATAATTTAAATATGAATAGAGATTATCTTGGTCAAGGGTATTCCATTCGTATTTTAGCGAATTGTATAGCTAAGAATAAACGAATGGCTGTTGTGGTAAGACTGTTAAGTATGAATTCACGACAGAGACCTAAATTAAATAAATAGACAAAATCTTATGAAAAGAAATCACAGTTCGTATGACAATCAGAAAAAATGGAATATAAAATTTAGCTACATGTTCCATATATGAAAATCGGGATTTTTTATTGCTTATTTTGAAGATTGATAGAACTCAAGTGGACCATAAAAATAAATGATTATGAAATTAGAACACAACAATCCCTTTATACAAGAGGCGGAAGAAACCAAAGCGACATTCATAAGTCAAAGTTAAACGGAATGGTTCCTTGTCTAGTATAGCTCCAGTTTTGTGTGATACTTATTTATGAAATAAATATACTACATTGTATCATGACAGCTTATTATATATATTTAGATATTTAAGAACTTGTTTATATTAAGGAATTAAAGAATTTCGTACAAGTATCCAATGGTTTAGCGTCAAAGAATTTTAACAATGTGACAATGTTAGATTTTGTAATTTAAAAGAATTTGTCTTTTGGGTTTCGTAGCTTCCATTTGATTTTTTTGGGGAGGGGGCAGGGCTAGGATGCAATTTGAAAAAAAAAGACAGAACAGGAGTATTGAGTAAAAAAAAAGGCAGGATGACCAACTTAGCAAAAAAAAAGGCAGGATGACAATTTATGTAAAAAAAGTCAGGATAAACTATTAATAAAAAGTCTGGAACTAATAGAGTGAAAAATAAAAAGGCAGAACAGAGATTACAACTTGAAAAAGAATACAGGACAAAGTTTTTCATCCTAGCCCCCATAAAAATCAAATGGTAGTGTAAGTGATAAATTTGTCCTGGTAAAATATGTCCGGGTGGACACATATTACTAGTATAAAAGTCTGGCGGACAAATTTTACTACCGGACCAAATTTACTGTTACAGTAGCTCCCTTACATTTAAAGGGGAGGGCGAATTTTTATGTTAAATACACGCAGGTTGTTATATTCACTGATGGTAAATCATATTTTTACATAGATATCGTGTATGTGAGAGTCAAACCTAAAAGGATAAATTTGACCACTGAAATCGACAGTTCGTGAATTGAGATTTTAAGTCGATGATTAATGTCCATAGAAAAAAATAACATATTTATCATGTGAAATCCTGAGCAAAAAAGAAGTATATCACTTCCTAGATACTTGAAATAAAAAAAAAGAAAAAGTTTCTGAAAGCCACTATATGTATAGATTAATCAAAAAGATGAGTACAAGTAGTTAACGTCGATCTAGGTCCACTTGATGAGCACGACAAATACACAATGGACTTTCCTAAGAAGCTTCTATACGTATCTAACAGCCAATGAAATAACAGCATCAACAATGGAATGTTCCTCCGACGTATCCATAAGGTATTATAAAAGGTGTGTTCAACTTTCCGAACTTGAAGATTGAGGCGTGTTTGAGTACAATGTTAATCCAACATATAGATACTTGTTTTTCTCTCACTTTTTGTGACGTTTAATTTCGATTTTATTACATAAAAAAAAATATCAAGTGAAACATAAACCAAGACACTCCATAGAAAATTAAAACAGAATATTCCAGA